TCATCCTACCATAATTGAAAGGTTACTATTGTTTAGGATAGGGTACGCAGCCCCTAAGTACCAGGTGATTAGCATCATCTGTGCTGTTGTGGCGGTCTTGAGCTCACTTCAATGTTTCACTCAGAGCAGACCTCGAACCACCTGCCTCGCCTGGAGTGTCCGAGCCCCAAACCCTAAACCCCAAACCCCAAAACTCCAAAAACCCTGAACCCTAAACCCCCAACCCTAAACCCCTAAACCCCACACCCCCCCAAAAAAACCCACAAAATCTGAGGCCCCGGGTGTCCACACCACCATCTCCTATGCCTCAACGGACGGCGAGTACAAGGACGACGGGAAGAGGCTCCTGGGCCGGAAAAAATGCAGCATCCAAACCCCCATTGTGGGTAATGTAGGGTTTAAGGTTTTGGGGGTTTAGTAGGGGCCTTAATAATTAGAATAGGGTTTTGGGTGGGTTCCTTATTGTTTTTATAGTATAATCTACCCCCAAACCCTATTCTAATTAATAAGGCTCCTATAGTGGTTCTCTTAATTGGTAGGGTCCCTTTCAGGGTTTAGGCCTAAGAATTTGGGTTTCATTTGGGGGGAGCTACAATGGGATGATCCTAATGTAGAGAAGAAGCCGAAATTTGTTTGGACCTCCCACATAGGCCTTGAACCCTAGACCATATGGCCTTGCGAACTCTCGGCTGAGGTGTCTATCCTAAACCCTAAACCCTAAACCCTAACTTTTCGACCATACTGGCAGACCCCTGCCCTAAACCACGAGATCTAGAGCCAACACCCGAGCAAGGAAGTGCTTCGTGGTCAACGGCCGCTACCGATGCCACAATTTGGAAGCCCACGGATTCGCGCTGATGTGCGTTCCCTTAGAGAAGACTCAAGGCGCCGAAGGGAGTTTCAAGTGCAGCTTCGGTCAGACTCCCCCTAACTCCGTCAGGCATCTGAACTCAGGGGCTGGTGGAAGACTTGATCATCGAGGAAGCCTAAACCCCGGCACTTAAACGCCGAGCCCCAAACTATGAGCCTTACACTCTAAACCCTCAACCTTCAAACCTGAAGCCTAAACCTTACGCTCTGAACCCTGAACCTTAAACCCTGCACACCTAAGCATTACACCTGAAGTGTGAGCTTGCTTAGGGGTCCCCAAAGCCCGACACCCTTAAAGGAAACCTTATAGATCCCTTACAGGGAACCTTGAGGTCCAGTATGACAACTTGAATTAAGTGACTCAGCCCAGCTTATGATCACCCTAAACCCTTAACCCCTAAGCCCCTAAACCCCCAAAACAACTTTTCCCCTAAAACCCCTAAACCTCTAAACCCCTAAACCCCTAAACCCCTAAACCAAACCCCAAAACCCCTAAGCCCCAAAGCGTTAGCCCTTCGGTTTCTGGCTTCCGGGTCTCAGAGCTCGGGGGCTCTGAGCCCGAAGAAGCTGTCTTCCGATGGCAAAGCACCGGTAGACGAGATTTAAGGTTTGGCTGAGGGCTTTTAGGGTTTAGAGTTTATGGGCTTTAGGGTTTCTAGGGTCTTGGGGGGGTTTAGAGTTTAGGGTTTTGTTCAGATTGTGCTAGGGTCTAGGAGTAGACAAGTTAAAAGAGGCTGGATCATTTCAGGCAAAAGCCCTAAACCCTCTACCCTGCACTGCGATATCCCAAACCCGGAAAGAACCCCGAAACCTGAACCAGAGAGTGTCACCTCTAAGCCCAAAATCGTCTCCAAAGTACACGACTCTCCATCCCAAGCGTTGTCGGTTTGGGGGTGGCTCCTCCCTCCGCCTCCTTTGTGGACGTGCGATGTACCGATGTGCCGCTTCTGTACGGGGTCTCAGGTTGGTGCATGGGGTTTTCCACGAGGGTTGCTGTAATGGTTCTTGAATTATACGGGGTTTGGGAGTTGTTCGGGTGTGTTGTATGCACGCGTAACCTGTTTAGTGTATTCGAAAACTCGTTTGGAGTAAGTGCCACTGGCGACAGCATGCTTGAATGGATGTTTGAATTCACCGCAAGCCGTTCATTGTCTTATACGGAGAGGAGATACTACCCGGAGTGCGAAACCCTGACAATGTGTTTCGTAACTGTTCGTCATCTCTCGGCCAAATTTGGGGAAGAGAGGCAGTCATCGCCCACCTGCGCTTCCACGTGCTTTAACACCTTAACAAAGGCATCCAGCGCCCCAGTCTCTCCATGCAAATCTTGCAAAACTCGCAGGCCTTGTGGCAATTGGGGCCTCATTCAGAAATCCCGGGGCCCTAGCCCCAGCGCCTCACGTGGATCCCACTGCACAAAGATCTTGCTGTCGAAACGCCCAAGATAACAGGCTTCAGCTTAAGAGCCCTCAAGAAGAAGGGCCTGGGATCTCTTAAGCAGCTTCCCACAACGCCAGCAGGCCACGACTTGTACAACTACCTGGTGGCGAGCAAGGTCTGGTGCTCAGACGCCGAGCTGCACTGAAACCGCAGAGGCCTTCCTGAAGAGCATATGCCCTAGTTCTCTGATAGCTACCGAACTCTGTGGCTGTTGCCCCCCCTCGAGAATGCTACTGCATGTATCCCAAGAATGGGTCAGGGTGTGACCCTTTACTACGTAATGTCTGATTGAGCCATAAAACCTGGATCCATTCCCGGAGGCCCATGCATACGTTAGAGTACCATTCTTTGGCGCAGCTTAAGTTAAGGTTAGCTTAGCGGCACCTCCTCGACAGGGCCCCCGCCCCTATCTTCAGGAGCCTCAATCGGATCTCGGTTGACATCCAACTGTTGATGATATCAATCCTGCATGACCTTAAGGATTCTAAACTATGGGAATTAGGGTATTTTCCTTATTGTGGGTAATGCAGGATTTATATCATCAGCCGTAGTATATGGGGTGGGTTCATAACCAGGTCTAGCCTGAAAGCAGGGAGACTCTGTAAAAGGTATCCGGCCATTTAGTGAATTCCGAATTCATGCCTGCAGAGTTTACTCGAGGAGGTTCATCAGCCCTGCACCCTTACAGTAAAGCCCCTAAGTAGTTCGTTTTCGGGATTACCTTATAGGACTCTAAATATAAACCATAAAAAGGAACTACTTAGCGGCCTGTGGGTAAACCCTCACCCTATATTAATCTAGCTCCCGAGCCCTAAACCCTAAACCCTAAACCCTCCAAGATCGTATTCCCGTGGCCGCCAGGTCTTGTACCCTTTGGCTGAGGACGTCCTCCGCCGAGCCTTTCCAACCTCGACGAAGGCGGACCTTAGCCAGCTCTGGGTTTGGGTATTTTTTAGGGTTTAGGGCTTAGTCAGCTCTGGGCTTGCGATTGAGGGTTGCATGGGGCATCCGCGAATTTTAAGAGGATCTTTGCAGCTTCCTAGGCCTGCTACATCGCTTGCTGAGGGATAGAGCCGCAGAGGCTACAGCTTGTGATCCTTAAAGCTGTGTTAATGTGTCACCAAAACGATGCGCAAGCTCGGACCACCGTCCGTGCAAGTCAAAACCATGTCACCTTTTTTGGGTGGAGTCTTGTTGCGGTACGTGAGAATCAACACATCTACAGCCCGGAAGCCCCGGAATCCCCCCACGACCTTTGCCAGGTTTTGGTTTTCGACCACATCGCCCGCAATGATGCGCGGTATGCCCAGGAGGCGAAAGCCGGCGAGATCACGTACCTTGGACCTGGGAGGCTGCCAGTGAAGCGACCTCGGGATGCTGCTTAGGGCTTATGGTGGAGGCTTTAAGGAGTTCCCTAAACCCTACAAACCCCCATAGGCTTTAAGGCATTCCGTCATGAACCCTAAGCCCAAGGTTCATTTTCGCTTCCGAAGGGCTCAGGCGGTGCTGGGTAGGTCAGACATGGATCTTTACCCAAAAGTCTCCGATGTGCCTTGTTGCTACCTTGATTTGTTTCTAAGATCCGATTGGAAACAAGGTGTAGACTCGTAGACCGTGACTCCAAGAAAACCTGACACCGACGAACGCCAGACCCGTGTGTCCCTGCTGAGGGGTAATGGGCAGGTGCTTGAGGAGATAGGAACGCATCAACTTCGGAAGGCTCGAACATGGCTTTGTTGTGTAGGTTTGTGTGGGTTCTCGATAGGCTGATGCTCTACATATTACTGCACAGCCTGTTCTAATTATTAAGGCCCCGATCTTATTATTGAAACCCTAGCTATCGAAACCCCACATTCCGATTGTTTAGGCCCAAGAAGGGCACATGAAGTTGGCAGAGTGGAAGAAACCCTTCGGGATTTGGGGCTTCAAACCCGGAAGATCCTGGATCATGGCCACTGCATTCAGAGCTTGGGGATGTGCCTATAGTCTCCATTGTGGTTCCTTTTTTTGGTTTAACCAATTCTATAGTAAGGATCCTAAAAGGTAACCCCAAAAAGGAACTACAATGGAGACTAGATGTAGCCCTAAACCCTAAACCCTAAACCCTAAAACCTTAACCCTAAACAGGTAGAGCCTGGGGGATGACGATGTTTTGGAAGCAGGTCTTCAAGGCTCAGGACTTCAGGTTGAGGATGAAAGGGTTCAGTGTGTGGGGGGGGGGGGAGTCGTTAAATCCTAAACTATGGGAATTATGGTATATTCCTTATTATGGGTAATGCAGGGTTTATATCATCCGCTGTAGGACCTGGGATTAATGTCTGAGCTTGAATTTCACGGGCAGCTCATCATACATTACCACATGCAGGTCCTTATATGCGACCATAGTGAAATCCGAAAGCCAGAGTCCGGATTGTCCTTTCGGTCTGCATTCCGTTATGGTAGTATTTACATACCGGTTTGCTGGTGAGAGAGCGAGAGAGAGAGAGAGAGAGAGAGAGAGAGAGAGAGAGAGAGAGAGAGAGTCGTTCTCTTCGTTCTCCTCCCAAAAGTTTCCTGCGCAGCCGAAGATCCGAAAGGGTGAAGCCCCCAAAACAGCAGCAGTAAGCTGCACCCCGGAGGGCTCAGGGTTTAGGGTTTAGGGTTCAGTGCAATGCTTACCCCCAATTCGCAAAGCCCTTTTTTCTTGGAGGGACCTAGCACAAGGAGCCCTATGTTTGTCCTCCTTCCTTCTGAAGGGGTGGCTATGATAACACAGAGAACCCAATACCCTTAAATAAGGATTATACCTTAAATTATAGGGGCCTTAAATATTATGATTTAAGGTATGTCGGTCTATTCCTTAATTGAGGGGTATTGGGCTCTCTGGGCAGTGGTCTACAGGAGTCGAGAGAGCCTCACAACAAACCAGGAAGATGTTGGCATCATCCTATGCTTTCCACGTGCATGGCGACTACACTGTGCGATCAGGCGATTTGAAGCTGAATCTTCATGTTTTCACGTTTTGTAGCAGCACAGGGTATTAAGATATGCCTCGATTCAACTCACAATCCTATTGCTATGCTGTAGAACCGAACAGTCTTGAAGCCGACCTGGTTGAACCCAACTCACCCTGCCGTGGGAACCGGTTTAAGAAGCCTAGCTCCCATGCTTCTTTCCCGGGTGCTGAATATGAGCCCTATACTCTATAAATTGCACTATAGGAGAGACTGAAAAAGACAGCCGGTTTGAGCCTCTGAGTTCCTAATTGCAGGCTTCGGGGCCGAGGGGTAACACTGATGTGGCAGCTGCTTGAAATCCTTGTCGCTAAAGTACTCCATCAATGACTTTTGTTTTAGCCCGAAGGGGCTGAATCCATGACGTCATGCCTCCTGTTGCCAGACGTGCATGACTTGCGAAAATGAAGCCAAAACCCGGTCAACCCCCCGTCCTTCTGCGGAAGTTGCCGTCGGCAGACTCGCGCTTTCGACACCAAAGCCCGAAATGCTACAGCTCTCAAGCCCTGGGTTTATATGTGATCTGGTAGAAGTTTATAGTAAGGGTGTAGGGTTATGGGTGGATAAGGGGTTTGTCGTTTGTTTTTTAAAAGGGCTTTGGGGTGAGTTTCAAGCCAATAGAGTGCAGGTTCTCTCACGGGTTGTAAACGGAGTCCGAAGCCTAAGTTCTTCGGACCGCCACCCTCGCTGGAGGCTTCAGTCGAGCCAGGTCACTCCTGGAGCCACATGAAGATTCGGGCCGCATCGAGGCTTCCCTAAGGGTTTAGGGGTGTCGTGTTTTGCCTTTAGGGTTTAAGAGTTTACGAGGGTTTAGATTCAGGGTCTAGGGTTCAAGTCATATTAGGGCCTTAACAAGTAGATCAGCATTCCGTCAGGGTTCTATGGAGGCCCCCGAAGGGCTCAAGGATTCATTAATTTGATCGAAGGTTTATTAGCGCTTTGGGTTTCCAGTCCGGAAATATACTTCTCCCAAGGGCACGAGGAATATAAGTACTTAGTTGAATACTCTACCGGTACTACTTACTGTGTCGGTTTTGATGAGGGTTCCATACGGGTTGAGGGGTTTTCTGTGTTTTGGTGTCGAGGTTTTTGGGATTGCCTGGAGTTCAGAGATATACGCCTTTACTTGGTGAAAGGGGCTTGGGGGCAGAACGTCAAGTCGCCTCAGATGCCTCCCAACCGGAAAAGCACTCTCTTTCAAGGGGTTTGGGGTTGACTGTTTGTTGACGGTGCCCTAAACCCTAAACCCTAAACCTTTGTCGTTGCATTTCAAAGGCACATCGCAGATGCACAGAAGTGCTATTGCTCAGGATGGCCCGGGTTCTACACAACGGATTCGGATTTAGGGTGTAGGGCCTACTTTTGCGTAATCTTTGGTCCCACGATGGAATATTCATGCAAGATCGGGCAGAGGCCGCGATCCAACAGCGCTTTGCCTTCGTGAACGTCTGGGTGCCGCTGAAGAAGGCGCACCCAAAGCAGTCTTGGAGGCATGTTCATGTCTGACTCAAGCCCATTCCCAAACTATGGTGTGGTTTGCCTTAATCAGGGGAGACGAATCCCTAATACAAGGCCTAGCCGTTCGAGGAACTTTGTGGTCGCGGCGATCTAAGCCGCTTCGGTTCTCGGAACTCTTTGTTTGATGTTTAGGGCGGTACAGTCGTATGGGTCTTTCCGGTTCAAGGTATACCCAGTTGTCGTGCAAGTTACCTCGCCTTGTAGGACCACTGAAAACTGAACTTCCTGGAACCTCCACAGATGGCAGTGTTCGCAAGCATTTCCCCGAAGATCTCGCGGGCATGCTGGGAGGATAGAATGTAGAGTGTAGAGTTTTGGCTTGGGCTTCGGGATTTAGAACACGACGTTTGGCATTCGAGACTCGTCTGGTTATTCGAGTTCTCGAACTCAACCCATAGGCCCCTAAGTACTTCCTTTTTATGGTTTATATTTAGAATCCTATAAGGTAATCCCCAAAAGGAACTACTTAGGGCCCATGGAAAGTTCTTGCCCTGCTGCAGGTCGAGCGGGATCCCCTTGGCATGATTGAGTGGGGCAGCCAGCGACCGCAGGATGTGGTCTCCATCAAGTGCCTAGGACTCGAACTAGGGGCCCTGAGCCGGATCCCAACATCATACAAAGGTTTCTCAAAGTCCAAGGGCTTGCTTAGTTTATTGGAGTCTGAAATCTGCATAAGTCTGTATGTCTGATATTTCGATCCCTGGCTCACGACTCGGCTGCATGGATTTAAGACAGTATGGAACGTCTGCCCCCGAAATGGCGATGACTTAATGCACTTCCCTTGCTGGCTAGGGTCGCCCTGCATTCAGGGCTTGGGCTTTGAGCCCTGCATGACCGAAAGCGTCCCGAGGTTCATCTATCCGCATCGCACCGGAGAGATCTACAGGGTGCTGCCGTCGGACCACCACCGGCGGCTCGTTCCCTAAACCACCAATCTCCGGGCAGGTTTGCACACAGGCAAAATCAAGTAAGATGCTGAGGCTTCTTTTTGAACTTCACAACTGCCCAGGACTTAGGGACTAGCGCGGAACCCGAAAGCCTTAATAGAGAGGTCTGAATATTTAATAGATATTAGCAGTCATGTCCTCTTATTGAACTTCTCCTTACTGTACATAATCATACCGCGATGCCCCTAATAATTTGGAGGCCCCAGACTGTTTAGCCTGAAAGGCAGGAGCCATTAACGGCTAAAACATCTAGGCTTTGGGGGCTACAGGCTCTTCGAAGCCCCCTTTGAAAAGCTCGAAGTTGTTTGGAGTTCGGCTGGGTTTAATACCTCCTACAGCTTGCTGGTGCTATGCAGCACAGAGTATGGGATCGAACGTGCTATGTCCAGCGCGAATGAGCTTCGATTTCTTCCGTTCGGGTCTTCCCTCGTTCTACCAGTGTTTCGTTGAGTCAGACCCCAAACCCTAAACCCTAAACGCCTAAACTCCTAAACCCTAAACCCTAAACTTCTAAACCCTAAACCCCAAACTCCTAAACCCCAAACCATCGTGAAGCCTTGCCCACTGTGAGTCGAAACCGCAGGTGGGTCTACTACCCGGACATGATGCCCGGCGAGTGCTTGATCTTTAAGGCCGGGCAGTTTGATGGCGGGACCTCACCCCCATTTTTTTTGGGCTAAGGTCTGACCGACTCCCACTGTCCCCTTGTAGTCTCTCTACCCTAAACCCTGAAACCTAAAACCTCAACCCTAAACCGTGTAGTAAGATCTGCCGAAGATCTTAGTGTCATTCTTGAATTGGAATTATACAACCCAGCTGTCCGAACACACACCTGGAATCCTGAAGTCTAAATAAAACCTTAAGTTCCCCAAACTCCGAGCACTCTTACGAAGATGCACTCGAAATTTGTTTGGTGCTCTTTGAGGTTTTCAGTTTGAGGATTTTTGGGGTGCAGGGCCTTCGCGGCTTCGCGTTTGGGTTGAAGGTTTGTCGGGTTTGGGGTCGAAACGGATGGGTCTGGGGTTCTTTAGGGTTTAGGGCTTAGTTTAGGGCTTAGGGTTCAGGGTTTAGGGTTTAGGGCTTAGGTTTTAGGGTTTATTAGGGTGGGATATCAGGTGAGAAGGGTTCCAAAGGACATGGTTGTCACAACATCTGGGCCCCGCTGTAGCGCTTGTAATTTGGTTGTTTGTCATTCTTCGCAGAAATACTTATTGAAGTTTATTGTTGGTTATATATACCACACATGGCATACAAACAGTTGATGTCCGTGAGGGTTGAGGTGTACATCCTTTCGAGTTAAAAGACTGCGGGTCGGGCTGCAGCTTTCGAACGACAGGGTTGTTGGGCTAGGGTTTGGGGTTTAGAGCTTAAGCGTTTAGGATAGTTGGGGGTAAGGGGGTTCGGGGTTCCGGGCTGTAGCCCATAAAGAAGTCCTCCATCCTGACTCAAAGACAAAAGCACCACTTACGATGGATTCCCCTGCAGAGGCCATGGCCCCGCGAAGCCGCAACACAGGTCACATAAGGATCATCTGCCAACAAAGAGTTCCATACTCGATTCCTGCTTGTGCAACTCCAGGCCCCCCCAACCCTAAATGCTTAAGCCCGGAACAGTTCAAGAAGCCTCCATCAACAGCACCAGAACTGGAGCCCAAATAAGCTCTCGCGAAATGCAAGCGTTTCAAGCGAAGGTTTTCGATTCGGCCACAGATGGGCGATCCCGCTTCTCCCTGCACGCGGCCTTCCCGGTGGCTACACTGAAAGGATCACGGAAATAGCCAGAACGTCATAAGCAGAGACTGAGTAGGGTGAACCCACCATTTGGTGCTTGCTAAGTGCCCTGGTTCTCTATGGAAGCAGGCTTGACATGCATTGAGTTTCTCATTGGAGACGGGCTAGCACTGCAGACCGTTGGGATGCTTCTCCCATAGACCCAACCAACTGAGCCAACTGAAACCTGGTTTCTGGTTTTTGCAGTCACGCATGAGAACACCCCAAGCCTTGAGCCGTGTCAGATGGTAATGACTACAAGACTACAAGACACTGACAAACATTTGTAGGATTCTGCCTGCATGATCCGGCTGGATGCAAGCGCACAGCCGAGAGTGTTGAGCTCGACCAAGCGAGAATTGATGTGCCGAACGGTCTGCCGTGCTATGCTGATGGGCAGTTGGTTACTGCGCTTCTTTGAATATCAGGAACAGTGTTTCGGCATTGTCCAAGAGCTCTCTGTAAGGTCCTGAGCCCCTGCTGCCCCAAACGCCAAAACCTAAAGCACTGAACTGCAAGGAAAAGCAGCCACAGCACTTTGAATCTGGAGACATCGTCGTACACCCGGTGATCCCCATCGTAAGCTTCAGCGTAAGACTGCAGATGTTGATGCTCCAACCCTGTACACCCGGAGACTCGAGACCTTAAGCCTTGAATCTTCTAAATCCGCAACAATAAACCCTAAACCGCCTAAACCCCTAAACCCCTAAACCCTAAACCCCCAAACCCTAGACCCTAAACCCTAACCTAAAGCAGAACCTGGAACCCGAGGATCCAAACTGCAAGCCCGATACGCCCAGCCGGGAAAGTATCGAGATGCGATGCGTCGTCTTCTTTGGCCCCAACTCTGCAGTTTAGGGTTTAGGGTTTAGGGTTTAGGGGTTTAGGGGTTTAGGGTTCAGAGTTGCTGGGGTTTTGGGGGTTTAGGG